CACAGTACTGAGACCCCACCTCTCCTTCCACACACTCATACTCCCCAGAACCACAGCTCTGCACAGTTGGCCCCTGGGAGGTCACCATAGATGGGGTGGGTTCCAGCACATTCCACCTCTCCCAGACTTGGTCAGAACCACAGCCACACCTGCTTTCACTCTTCTTCTTCCCTTCCTTGTTTTCTTCCTTCTTTCCTTTCTTCTTTGACGTTTTTGGTGAGGTATCTGAGTGAGGATGGGGACACTTTAGCTCCAGTTCACGAGAAAACAGAACCTGGTGGGCCTGTGACTCACATCAGGTCTTGGGCTTCTCCCCCCTCCCCCATCTCACATAACACACATGCTCAGCTTAGGTTGAGGCTATGAGAGGGGAGGCCCCGTGGCAGGTTTCAGGCTTGGATTCAAGGGGACGCTCTCTGGCGAGCTTCAGTGACTTGAGCAAAATCAGCAAGAATCTCTAAAAGATACTTTGAACTCCATGGCTCATTAGCTGAGGGGAATGAGGAAGCAAACAGGTGCTGGGGGCAGACAGAGAGACCAAGAGCAGAACAGCACTTAACAGGGACCAGAGGCCTAAAGGCAGGAAGGTGAGGTGGCCCTGGATAAAAGAAAGCAGGGCAGGGCTGGAGCATTGGCTGCTCTTGCCCAGGACCTGGGCTCGGTTCCCAGTACCCACATAGTGGCTAACAACTGTCTGTAACTCCAGTTCCTGGGGAATCTGATTCCCTCTTCTGGCCTCCATAGGCATTGCACACCTGATGTATTTACATGCATGTAGACAAAACACTCATATACATAAAATAACAACAAATAAATCAAAACCAATTTTAAAAAAAAGAAAATGGAGCACTTTCTGGAGTGTGACAACAGAGATGAACGTCAGCCAATGGAATGTCACATTCCTGGGGACTGAGGAAACCAGGGAATATCTGTGAAGTTCAGAGATACTAGAAATGGCTTTTTCCATTAACAGGACATGACCAGCGGCTGAGCACTGGCTTATGCCAAGTGTACCAAAAGAAAATATTTTTTGCACAAACTATTTTTTTATGAACATGTACATGGCTCAATGGTAGAAGGTTTGCTCAGGCCCAGCAAGTGTGAGGTCCTGGAGTCCACCCTAAGTACAATAAAAATTATATTTTTTCAAAACCCACAAATTTTTACCAAAATGAAAATTTTCAGGCCAAATCTGCTTTTGACACCATGAACCTGCTTGTGGAAGCTGTTTAACTGCTGTGCACAAGGCTGAGGAACATGCAAGCAGCCAGATGCTGACACCCTGTGGTGGCAAATGCTGTACCACTTTCCTCAGACTCCAGTGATGTCAGCACAAGTATGCCCTGGGAAGAAGTCTTGGCATGAGCCAAGGAAACGAACGAGACCGGAGCTCTCCACCCCGATAGACTTAACTAAGCAGCACACAGTTGACAAACAGGCGGCCCCTCACCATCGCACCCATGCACACAGTTGATAAAATGCTAAAACTCTATACCAGATTAAGAAGTTACTGTGGTTACCCCATGTGTCACAAGGCACAGGTGCAGACCTGTTAGCTTATGGCGCTTTCAGAATGTTCGATTATCCACTCAATGGCAGCCCACCCCTGCAACACAGAAAGACTTCAATTCTCGGTGTATGCAGCAATCCACAGGCTTGTGATTTAGACCACAAAAAAACGGGAGCACTGCTGTGGCAGACAAACTTATGGCCCTCCTGAGCCACCGTCCACATAAGCAAGCAGTTATTCAAGCTCAGAATCACGAGATGTTTTCCATGCCTAAAGTTGTCTACGGTTGTCCAGCATGGGCACCCCTCTCTTAGCCCAACATGGCAAGTTCTCATCCAAGGGAGACCTACGACATCTCAAACCCCAGAGCCAAAGCTGCCACATGGAGACCAGAGAGGTTAGGTATTCTACCTGTACTCACAATCCCATCTCCCACGTGGCCATGAGCTGTTTCCAGATATATTAAAAGCCATGCCAATCTGCCAGAGGATGGTGACCACAAAGGTGACTCCTTCACATGCCAGGGATGGCACTGAGTCTGCCTGAAGCCTTCAACACAACAACCCTCACGAAGTGAAATGAAAGAAAGTCAACTCGGCTCCAGTGAGTTTACCCGGCTTTTTCTCATAAAAAGTCTAAGCGTTTCAGTCTGACAGTCTTCGCTTCCTCTCATTTTGTGGCAGCAAATGCTTAGGGTTCCTGTCATAAGCCCAGTACTTAGAAACACAAAGATGAGTATGTCTGTGTCTCCTGTGGGACCTCTTGTGTGGACAGAACACTGCCTGTTGGGCCTTTTGTCCTACAAATCCAGAAATGAGTAAAGCTATTGCATATATTCCTCAAATCTGGATTTTTTTTAAAAAGAGAAACAATGGGGTAACCTGGCTCTTCCATGGTGACTAAATTCGAGCCACTAAATGTGGCTACTTGGGCATCCATAGGTGTTTTTGCCTTCAGCTCCTGGCCAGCCTTTCCATACTGCTAATTTAAAACAGAGCTGTGGGAAATGCTGTGGCTTTAGGAGCTCAACTGTAACAATTCCAGTTGTCAGCAGAAACCCAGGAGTAGACATGCTGCCACCTCATCTGACATTACATAGTGCCCATTAGAGTCTGGGACTGGGGTGTGTACCTTCTTTGCATTGGAGGAGATTGTGTTGGCCATTAGGCTTTCTAGGTAGCTCCCAAGGCTAATCCCCTTCACCGTGATGATGGCTTCCTGGGTGAGCACAGTCCTGTAGAAGAGCAGAAGTGAGGGGCTGACCAGCCCTGGGTTGGGGGGCTCTGTCTGCCTCTACCCCTGATGCTCAATGTGTCCATCCAAGGATGGGACAACTCACTTTTCAGGGTTGTCTGGATGAGGTGTATACACCAGCCTCTCATTCACTGACACCAAATTTGTGAGTGTGATCTTAAAAAAAAAA